AAGACGGGCTTGCTGCTTGCCACGTGGCGGCGCCGCAGCCACTGAGCGATCTCCACGTCAGCAGCTGTTGCGCCAGCCTGGCAGAAGTTGGAAACGGGAGCAGAGAGGACAGGGAAGGAAGGGGGAGAGGAATGGAAGGGTGTGAGCGATGCAGAGAGTAGGGGGGGGTGAATGAGTCGTCTCCAGACTCCAGTGCTGCTGCTGAGCCCCAAAAGCTGTACAGGGAGAGGAATAGCGACGGCGGAGAAGGGGGTAGGAGTGATGCTCACAGTGCTGAACCCCAAAGAATCCATACGTCTAAAGTTATTTTTTAGAACTCTCAAAAACATCTAAAAGCCGCCGTCTCCGCCCCATCCACCACCATGAGTGCTAAGCTAACCTCTTGAGCCATGGGTGGTTAATTGAACCATATGCCCTGCCCCGCCTCACCAGCTTACTAACTCCTTATCCCAAACCTGTTGAACGGTGTTTTTGAGAATTCTCAAAAACACCCTGTAAAACAGATGCAACGCCTCACGTGCCCATCCACCACCATGATGATGGCATCTGCCTCCTCCTCCTCCACAGCTGCTATTTTCCCCATGACCACGAACCCAAAATACCATGGTACCTAGTTTTGAGGCGCCTCAAAACACGAACCCAGAATACCATGGTACCTCAAAGTCTCCTCCCACCCACCTGCCCATCCACCACCATGATGATCGCATCTGCCTCCTCCACGGCAGCAGCAGCCTGGCGGCCAATCAGCTCCGGCAGACCCGCCACCTCAGCCTCCTTCGCCGCCCGCTCGTTGGCCAATCGCCCGCCGCCACCTGTACACGCCACGGTTGGTGTAGGTGGGGAGGGGTCAATTCCCGAGCAAGGAGATTCAATCTTCATTAGAGCTAACGTGGATGGGCTGCTTTTGAGTCGACTCAAATGGAAGTCAACTCCCGAGACAGGAGATTCTTTTTCTTGAACTTGGGCAAGGAGCCGCATCCGCCCTACCCAGAGCCAGCAAGGCTGCTGAGGAAGCCGAGCCTCGCCCTGCGGCCTCCCCTCTACTACCGCCCTTCCTCCTTGCACCTCCAGTTAGGTTCACACTCACCAGTAACCGCAACGCCGTCCGCCATAGCCAGAGCCAGCAAGGCTGCTGAGGAAGCCGAGCCTCGCCCTGCGGCCTCCTCCCCTCTACTATCGCCCTTCCTCCTTGCACTTCCAGCTACATTCGTTCACACTCACCGATTACAGCAACACCGTCCGCCTTAGCCAGCGCCAGCAAGGCTGTTCCGGACGCCGAGCCTCGCCCTGCCCTCCCCCTCTACCGCCCTTCCTCCTTGCAGCACCTGCACCATCAGCACCGTCAGTAGCAGCACCAGCAGCACCAGCAGCACCAGCAGCAGAAGCAGCAGCAGCATTAGGGGCGTCCATGAGGCCGCCCGTGTCAGTGAGCAGGAACTGCCTGTCCTCCCAAAGGGCACGCGCGTACAGCCGGTCCCTCGTCACCCCGGGCTCGTCGTGCACTATGGCGATGTTGCGCTGCCGGGGCCGAAGGGGGTGGATGGGTGGATGGGAGGATGGGAGGAGAGTTGATAACTCATTGGTAAGTCAACAGACGGTCCCTCCCTGGTCACTCCGGGCTCATCATGCCCTGTGGCGAAGTTTATTTTTGAGGCGCCTCAAAAATAGACTCATCATGCACTGTGGCGAAGTTTCGCTGCCCGGGTGGGGAGAGGGGGGATGGGGGATGGGATGGGTAGAGGGGAGGAGTGTTAAAACTCAATACTAAGTCAATAGTCATCTTGGTCACTCCGGGCTCGTCATGCACTATGGCGACTTGCGCTGGGAGGGAGAGGGATGGGAGGAGAGCTAAGAACTCAACATTTAGTCAACAATCGGCCTGGTTACCCCGGGCTCGTCGTGCCATAGCACTATGGCGATGTTGCACGGTTAGAGTCCTGGGAATGAATGAAATGCATGCCCTAGCCTAGCTTCAAGCAAGCAAGTGCCTACTTTTGAGGCGCCTAAAGAATATGGCGATGTTGCGCAGTTAGATTCCTGGGAAAGAAAAACATGCCCTAGCCTCAAGCAAGCAAGAGCTGCAATCACTCACTCACCCCCACTAGTCGGTTGAAGAGAGCTGACTTGCCCACGTTGGGACGACCCACGATGGCCACTCGAGGCAGCAGATGCTCCGGTACCTGCCATGACACACATGTGGTGGCATGCCAATGTCAGAGGAAAGAGGAGGATCTTGTGTTTTCGCATGAATGAAGTCATAATGCTGCCCATTCCGCCATGCCATGCCATGTACCCCATGTTGCGTCGATTCAAGATGGCCAGATAAGAAAATTAACATTCTGATTTATTCAGATGTTTAAGCAAGGGCGCCCACTTGAGGCAGCAGATGCTCCGGTACCTGCCATGACACCTATTGTGACATGCCAGGCCATCATGTTTTTTACAATTCTCGAAAGCACTCTGCAAAATCAAGGGCGCCCACTCGAGCAGCTCCAGTACCTGCCATGACACATGTGGTGACATGCCAGGACCATCATGTTAACGGACGGCCTGTGCCATGGAAAACCATGCCATGGCACATGCCATCATGCCATCATGCCATGATGCATCCAGTGGCAACATCTGTGCTATGCACACCGCACCACGCCCTACACCACACCACACCCTGCATGTGCCTCATGCTACGCCTCCAATCCAAACTCCCTGCACCAACTTTCTCCCTCTCGTCCGTATCCTCATTTCGCTCTCCTTCTCCCATCATCCATTCAAGTCAGAACCCCCACGCAGTAATACCCAGGTGAGCTCTAAGGAGAAAAAACCCGCGACTCTTGCCAGACTGCTGCTCTGAGCTGAGCCCACCTTGTCTACCACGTTCCACTGCATTTTCAAGCCCTTCCGCCTGCCCTTCTCCTGCTAGACACCTGATAAACCCTGGGCTTGATAAACCCTGGACCTGATAAAACCTAGACTCATGCCTCGTCTACTACATCTCGCTGCCGTCGTCGGCTGTTCAGCCTGCTCTCCACCGCCTCTTGATTAGTCTATTTTTGAGGCGCCTCAAAAATAGACCCTCATTATGAACCCCAGACCTGGGCTGTATAGACTCCATAGCAGATAAACCCCGACAAGACAAACCCCAACTTGATAAACCCCGACTCGATAAACACTCGAGTCTTGCCAGTCTAGACTAGCGCTCGCACCTCACCTCTTCCACTATGTCCCATCTTTGTCGCATTCCCTTGCGCCGGCTCTCGTCCCTCTCCTGCTTCTCTATCGCCTCCACCACCACCGTACAACCCTATAAACCCTCTACTCTTACCAGCCAAGCTCACTCGTCTCCACCAGCACCGTACAACCCTCATAAACCCTCCACTCGATAAACCCTAGAATGTTCCTAGCTCACCTCTTCCCTTGCGCCGGCTCTCGCCCTTCTCCTGCTTCTCTATCGCCTCCACCACCACCACCCTTCAACCCTCGTAAACCCTGAACTCGATAAACCCTCGATTCTTGCCAGACTAAGGTTCTGAGCTCACCTCTTCCACTACATCCCGTCGCCGGCGCCATCCCTTGCGCCGGCTCTCGTCCTTCTCCTGCTTCTCTATCGCCTCCACCACCACCGCCATGGCTGCTCTCTCCCAATCCGCTGCTGCCATCTGTACAACGTCATCATCACCATCGTCCTCCCCCCCCTCCTCCTCCTCTAGCTCTCCTCCCTCCAAATCCACTTCTTCCCCTTCTTCTAATTCGTCAATCTCATCCTCCCACTCCCCCCCCTCCTCTTCCTCCTCCCACTCCCCCCCCTCTTCCTCCTCTTCTTCCTCCTCTATTTTCTGCACTGATGGCCCTCGCTTCCCCTTCTCCCCTTCCTCGGAAAACCCCTTGGTCGCGCGGAGGCTTGCTCCGCGAAATGCGGACGGCTGCTTAAACGAGTCATCGGATTGAGATAAGGAGAGCAGAAACGACGACTGTCGCCGCCGCGGGAGCAGTTCTGTTGGCCGGGAGGGAGGGCGAAGGAGGGAGAGAGAAAAAACGGCAGAAAGAAGGTTTAGGTGAGGTTATCCTGAAACCTCCAGAAAATCTTCTCAGGTGCATCGGACTTTCCGCGGAAGGGGAGACATGCTGTGTCAGATGATTGGAGAGCTCAGGGCTTTTCATGAGGAAGGAGCGCGAATGACAATACCAGAATGTAGCTTCGTAACGCGAGAGCAAGCCAGGGAACTGCAGACAGCTAGGTGCGACGATGCAGCCATGGCTCTCGTTAGATGCCAACTAGAATGAAGAGGATACGAAGCTATGGAGCCATATCTGATCTGAAGCTATCAGGCAGCAATATCTGGGTTCAGGTTGAAACTTCAGGCTTGGGAGGGAGGGTCCAGCAGGAGAATTGGCTTTCTGAAAACAGTATAACATAATAAAAGTCGTCTGCTGAGTAGAAAGAATGGGCTCTGCGAAAACCTATACTCGAAGCGGAACTGTTCTCTTATAGCGGATATAGCTCCAGCCTCGCCAGCGACCGTTGGCTGAAAAGCCAATAGTGAGTAGGAACTGTACCCTTTTCCAGAAATTTCATTGCCCTCCTCAGATCTTGTTCAAACGTGGCCAATCAGAGTGCAACGATGTTTCTTCCCCACATCCAGGCCAGTAGGAAGCTTGGGAACACCGAACCATCCCAAGCGAACTTGGTTCTGGACCAGTCAGATAAGACCTGTTCACTGAATTTCTTTTAGGTAACCTAAAAGCGTACCTGAAGTCAAAAGTTTAGGCATGGTACGTCCCATGACGTCATTCTCCACACCAGCAAACTCCGTTCATGGCGCAAGTAATTAACGAGGTGACGTAATCAGGCAATCAAATTTGAACAAGTTACGAAACTATAATCGGGTAACTGATTCTCCGTTGGCATGTAGTGTATGATGAAAAAAAATACATGAGCTAGGCTAACCACCCCAGTCCCTGCTTGTGAAGTGAGTGGGATTTCGCTAACCGTCAGATTCCTTCGACCTGATCGCCTGTTCCAGTAGAGGCGAAGCTTTACGTCCTTCCTTAGGCAGCACCTCCGTGCATCACGCTGCATAGTCGTTCCTCCTCTCAATCTTAAAAAGGAGATCCATTTCGTCATAAAGCCAGCGAATTGGGAAGTGCGTTATCGGCAGTTGTGATCGGTAGCCCGAAAATGGCTTCCAGCGTGCGAATTTCGTTACTAATCGTCGTCCTTGTCAGCGTAACGGGGGTTTTCGCCAGCGTCAAGCCTCTCCGTGGCGTCCCCCCTCAAGGTGCTTTCGCTACTCCAGTGCGATGATCGCACGTTACGAAAACATTTTAAGAGATATGATCGTGCCTGGTGAAGATTCGTGCTCTATAGAACGGTTCCCCCTACTAGGCTAGTAGGCTTAGAGGCTCTCTGTCCTAGGCACCAAGTGCTACAAGCAGTCAGCGTTCGCGAACCTACACCGCCAATAGTGGTTCGGCAGCTGGACGCGTTTGTCCTAGCTGTCTTCGCATGTTTTCTCGCGAATCGGGGGGCTTCTGGTGATTAGCCAGCTGGACGGGTTTGTGCCAGCTGTGTTCGGCGAATTTTCGTTGACCTAGTCTTCTCGAATTGTCTGGTCAGGCTGCTTATATTCCCTGGTCTTATATTCCCTTTTCCTTTGCTCTGTCCGTGTTCGGGTCTACGTGTGTGTGCGGGCGCTCTGTGCATGCGTGTGTGTACGAGCGTGTATATGCGTGTGTGTACGTGCGTTTGTGCTTGGGGCACGTGTAAGAGGAGGGGTGGGAAAACGTTTGTCTGTGTGGGGTTTGGGGGGAAGAGTGGGTGCGAGGTTGGGTGGGTCTGTGTGGCTGAGAGGAGGAATGGTGGGTGGGTGGGTGCCTGTGGGAGTGAGGGACAGCAGATAAGGCACTGTTCTCTGGCGACGTGATTTCGTGCCGGGATGGTTCCAGGAAGGTTCACATTTCGCGAGTCAACGACGACTTCTGTGACTGCCCTGACGGCACGGACGAGCCAGGCACTTCGGCGTGCCCCAACGCCTCCTTCTTCTGTCGCAACCGAGGGCACAATCCCCTCCGCATCTTCTCGTCACGCGTAAATGACGGCATCTGCGGTAGGTTGGGGTGAAAGCTAAGCCAGCAGCTACACGTGTCTTTTGGAGGTATTTCTGTCTTGTGTGCATTTTTTTAGGCGCCTCCCTGCACGTATCCCTGCCCCCCTCTTCCTCTCCTCAGATTGCTATGATGGCAGTCACGAGGCGAGTACGATGGTAGGGTTCCCTGCACCAACACATGTGCCTCGGGAGTCAGGCAGGGCAACCCACTGAACTCGCCTTTCCCCCCTTCTGCCGCAATGCGTGTGCTGAGTCCGGGGCGGCTTGCTTGTGTTTCCTTCCCCCTCTGCCCCTGTTCCTTACCCCTCTGCCCCTGTTCCTTCCCCCTCTGCCCCTGTTCCTTACCCCTCTGCCCCTGTTCCTTCCCCCTCTGCCCCTGTTCCTTCCCCCTCTGCCCCTGTTCCTTCCTCAGAGGTGACTTTTGAGTCGACTCAAAATGAGGCAACTTTTGAGTCGACTCAAAATGAGGTGACTTTTGAGTCGACTCAAAATGAGGTGACTTTTGAGTCGACTCAAAATGAGGTGACTTTTGAGTCGATTCAAAAGTCATTCCCTCCCTCTGCCCCTGTTCCTTGCTCAGACTGCTGCGACGGTAGTGACGAATATGATGGAAGCATGGTCTGCCCCAACACATGTGCGCAGGCCGGGGCGGCTTACTTGTGTTTCCTTCACCCTCTACCTGCCTCCTTTACTTGTGCTTCCTTCTCCCTCTGCCTGCCTCCTTTATTTACTTGTGCTTCCTTCCTCAGACTGCTGTGATGTCAGTGACGAGTACGATGGAAGCGTAGTCTGCCCCAACACGTGTGCGCAGGCCGGGGTCGCTGATATGTCAATTCTTTCTCCTCTCTCCCTCCCCCCCCCGCTTCTCCTTTTCCGTCTCCTTTTCCCGCCTTCTCAGATTGCTGCGATGGTAGTGACGAGTACGATGGAAGCGTTGTTTGCCCCAACACGTGTGCGCAGGCCGGGGCGGCGAGGCGGCAACAGCTGGCAGCTGACGTGGCGAAGTACAAGGAGGGGGTGAGGCAGAGGCAGAGGGCGATCGAGGAGTGGCGAGAGAAGAAGGGGCGGATGCAGGAGGAGAGGGGGCGGCTGGAGGAGGAAGAGAGGCAGCTGCAGGAGAAGGAGAAGGCGCTCAAAGGTATGTGTGAGTGTGTGCTTTTGAGTGTGTGCTTGTGTGGGTTTTGAACGATGTAAGGAACTGTTTTTGGGAAGAGAAGAGAAGAGGCAAGTGCAGGAGGAGGAGAGGGTTCTCCAAGGTATGTTTGGGGTCAAAGCAGAGGCTGAGGGCGATAGAGAAGTGGCGAGAGAAGAAGGGGCGGATGCAGGAGGAGAGGGGGCGATTGGAGGAGGAAGAGAGGCAGCTGCAGGAGAAGGAGAAGGTGCTCAAAGGTGTGTTTTGGAGAGCGTATGTTTGTGTGTGTGGCGTTTGATTCGGATTCAAATGTCCAATTGAAGAGAAGAGGCGGCTGCAGGAGAAGGAGAAGGCCCTCAAAGGTATGTGTGGGCGACTCTGTATGTGTGTGTCTGTGTGTGTGCCTCTGTGTGTGTGTGTGTGTCTGTGTGTGTGCCTCTGTGTGTGTCTGTGTGTACCTGTGTGTGTGTGTCTGTGTGTGCCTCTCTGTGTGTTTGTCTGTGTGTGCCTCTGTGTGTATGTCTGTGTGTGCCTCTGTGTGTGTGTCTGTGTGTGCCTCGGTGTGTGTGTCTGTGTGTGCCTCTGTGTGTGTGTCTGTGTGTGCCTCTGCGTGTGTGTCTGTGTGTGCCTCTGTGTGTGTGTCTGTGTGTGCCTCTGTGTGTGTGTCCGTGTGTCTCTCTGTGTGTGTGTCTGTGTGTGCCTCTGTGTGTGCCTCTGTGTGTGCCTCTGTGTGTGTGTCTGTGCGTGCCTCTGTGTGTGTGTCTGTGTGTGCCTCTGTGTGTGTGTCTGTGTGTGCCTCTGTGTGTGTGTCTGTGTGTGCCTCTGTGTGTGCCTCTGTGTGTGCCTCTGTGTATGGGCCTCTGTGTGACTTGTGTGCGGCTTTTGATTCGATGCGAATGTCCTCTGGAAGAAAAGAATCAAGAGCAGGTAAAAATAAGGTGCTCTAAGGTAAGTTTTGCAGGGGGGGGGGGGGGGGGGGTAGTGAGTGCTCACACTCCTGTTGTCCGGATCCTTCTTCCTCTTTTGATTCACCTCGAAAATCGACTCTAACGTTTGTGCGCCCTCCTCCAGACCACCCCCCCTCCCTCTCTTCCCTCCTTGCAAACAGAGGGGAAGGAAGCATTGGAGAAGATAGAGGAGGAAGAGAAGGAGAAGCAGAGGGAGATAGAGGAGGAAGAGGCAGCATTGTTATACAATCACTTATCCCTTCCCCTCCTCCCTCGTTGCAAACAGAGAGGAAGGAAGCATTGGAGAAGATAGAGGAGGAAGAGGAAGCAATCTTGTACATTCACTTATCCTCCCTCCCTCCTCCCCCCTTCCCCCATCGTGAGCAGAGAGGAAGGAGGCTCTGGAGAAGATAGAGTAGGAGGAGAAGGAGAAGCAGAGGAAGATAGAGGAAGAGGAAGCAATCTTGTACATTCACTATCCTCCCTCTTCCCCCCCCCCCTTCCCCCCCTTCCCCCATCGTGAGCAGAGAGGAAGGAGGCTCTGGAGAAGATAGAGGAGGAGGAGAAGGAGAAGCAGAGGAAGATAGAGGAGGAAGAGGCGGCTAGAAGGAAGGCAGAGGAGGAGAAGCTGCAGCCACCACCTGCCGAACCTACCGAACCTGCCACCGAACCTGCTGCCACTGAAGCTGCTTCTACCGAACCTGATGCTGTCGAGCCTGACACTGCCGAGCCTGCAGCAACTGAGCCTGCTGCGGCCGAGCCTGAGTCTGCGTCTGCCACAGGGAAGGCAGTGTTGGGGGAGCCGCTTAGTGCTTCTGATGCTGCTGCTGATGCCGCTGCCAATGCTGCTGCCGATGCTGCTACTGATGCTGCTGCTGATGCTGGTGCTGTTTTCGATGCGACTACTGCTGCTGATGACAACGACGATGAGAACGACGAGGACCTATCGGGACTATCGAAGGAGGAGCTGGGGAGGCGGATTGCCTCCCGATGGGCGCATGGGGAGGACGGACCCGGGGGGGCGGAGGTTGGGGGGGAGGAGGGGGAAGGGGGGGAGGGGGGTGGGGAAGGGGAGGGAGAAGGGAGTGATGGGGCTGACTTGGGAGGGGATGATGGGTTGGCGTATGATGATGGGGACGATGACAAGGACTATGACGACGTGGAGCATGATAATCATGACGATCATGAGGTTGACCATGATGATAATGGTGATGATGGTGGTGATGGGCATGATGCCGTCGATGATGATGCGCTGGAGGACAACGAGGACTTTCCCTCCCATGACGAGCAGGAGGACGATCCTTGGCGCGATGCATCAGGTACTAATGTGCTTGCACTGCATAGAGCACACATCACACAGCAGCACAAGCACACGGTACACGGCAGCACACCGCAGCACACAGCAGCACACGGCACATAGAAGCACACGACGCATGTCCATGTTGCCTCCTCAACGGCTTATCGTCTCGCTTTGCCCCCCTGGTGAGGATAACGAGGACTTTCCCTCTTCTGACGAGCGGGACGATGATCCTTGGCGCCATGCATCAGGTACTTTTGACTAGGTGCTACTAGCGCTGCTGGAGCATTCCAATGTAGATGATGGGCATGATACCGTTGATGATGATGATGATGCGCTGGAGGATAACGAGGAGGACGGTCCTTGGCGACTAGGACCGTCCTCCTCTCATGACGACTAGGAGGACGGTCCTTGGCGCGACACATCAGCTACTAAAGCGCCTTGCAGCAGCACAGCAGCACAAGGCGCACAGCACAGAGCGCAGAGCACACACCAGCGTGACGCATCAGGTACTTAAGCGCTCGGGACTTGCACTGCACGCAGCACAGACCTCACAGCACACATCGTTGTGGGACGAGGCACAGAAGATGTGGTCCCGTGTCTCCTCCCTAGTCTCCCATTTACTCCCCCCCCAACCCAACCCCCCCACGCCCCTCTGCCTCCTCGCTCCCGTCCCTGTGGGACAAGGCATGGCAGATGTGGTCTCGAGTCTCCTCCCTCGTCCCGTATTCCCTCCCTCCTCCTCTTCTCTCCCCTTCCCCCACCCCTCCCTCCCCCCCCCCAGCGCCCTCTGCCTCCTCGCCCCCATCTTCGTGGGACAAGGCGAAGCAGGTGTGGTCTCAAGTCTCCCTCTTGTCTCTACCTCCCCCTTCCCCCCCCCCCCCCCCCCCGCTTTCTCCCCCCATTCACTCCCTCCCCGTCCCTCCTCCGCCTCCCCCAACCAGCGCCCTCTGCCTCCTCGCCCCCATCCTTCTGGGGCAAGGCGAAGCAAGTGTGGTCTCGAGTCTCCTCCCTCGTCTCGCAGTTACTCCCATTCTCTGCCTCTCCCTCCTCTCCCCACCCCACCCTCGTGCTCCCCCCTGTCAGTCAGCACCTGCTGCCTCCTCGCCCCCATCCTTCTGGGGCAAGGCGAAGCAAGTGTGGTCTCGAGTCTCCTCCCTCGTCTCGCAGTTACTCCCATTCTCTGCCTCTCCCTCCTCTCCCCACCCCACCCTCGTGCTCCCCCCTGTCAGTCAGCACCTGCTGCCTCCTCGCCCCCATCCTTCTGGGGCAAGGCGAAGCAAGTGTGGTCTCGAGTCTCCTCCCTCGTCTCGCAGTTACTCCCATTCTCTGCCTCTCCCTCCTCTCCCCACCCCACCCTCGTGCTCCCCCCTGTCAGTCAGCACCTGCTGCCTCCTCGCCCCCATCCTTCTGGGGCAAGGCGAAGCAAGTGTGGTCTCGAGTCTCCTCCCTCGTCTCGCAGTTACTCCCATTCTCTGCCTCTCCCTCCTCTCCCCACCCCACCCTCGTGCTCCCCCCTGTCAGCACCTGCTGCCTCCTCGCCCCCAACCTTCTGGGAAAAGGCAAGCAGGTGTGGTCCCGTGTCTCCTCCCTCGTCTCCCATTTCCTCCTTCCCTCTCCTCTCCCCTTCCCCCACCCCTCACCCCCCCTCCCCCCCCCCCCCCAGCGCCCTCTGCCTCCTCGCCCCCATCTTCGTGGGACAAGGCGAAGCAGGTGTGGTCTCAAGTCTCCCTCTTGTCTCTACCTCCCCCTTCCCCCCTCCCCCCCCCTTTCTCCCCCCATTCACTCCCTCCCTCCCCCTCCCTCCTCCTCCTCCCCCCCCCAGCGCCCTCTGCCTCCTCGCCCCCATCCTTCTGGGACAAGGCGAAGCAGGTGTGGTCGCGAGTCTCCTCCCTCGTCTCCACCAAACCAGCACTGTCGATCAATGAAACGGGTAAGACGGTCAATGGGTGTGACACGTCTACTAGCTAGGAGTGTGACGTGGCCTACTGGATAACAAACACTCGTTTGATGAGGCTTCGTGTCTCCTCTCTTGTCCCCCTTGGCTCTCCTTGTGTTTCCTGTGCTTTCTTGGCCAGATCAGAACTCTTCACAAGGCTCCATATTGACACAAGAAAAGCCGCTCTTTCACTCACCTTTTATCCCAATCTCCCTCTAGACCTCCCTACCGTGTGCTCTGGAGTACCTGACCTACCAAGTCCCGTCCCTACCATGCGTACAGAGTACCACATGGTATCAACACAGCTCAGCAAGATGACGGGGCGGCTTAAACCCCAACCCCTCCCTTCCCTAACCCTTTCCTTCCCTTGGTTCTTTTCTCCCTTCGCTGCAGACCTGCTTGCAGTGCGTTCAGAGTACAACAGGGTGTCATCGCAGCTCAGCAAGCCGGGGGCAGGCTTAAACCCCAAACCCTCCCTCCCTCTTTCTCCCCGCCAACCCCCCGCCAGACCTCCTTGCAGTGCGTTGGGAGTACAACAGGGTGTCATCGCAGGTCAGCAAGGCGAGGGGGCTCCTTCCAGCCCTTCCTGTTCGCCCGCAAGGCTGTGTCTTCATCCCTCTCGCTCCCTCTTTCCTCTGCATCTTCAACTTCAACCCACCACCCTTTCCTCACAGACCCCCTCACAGTGCGTTCAGAGTACAACAGGGTGTCACCGCAGCTCAGAAAGACGGGAGGACTCCTCCCAGCCCTTCCTTGCTGTGTCTTCATCCCTCTCGCTCCCTATTTCCTCTGCATCTTCAACCCATCACCCATTCCTCACAGACCTCCTCGCAGTGCGTTCAGAGTACAACAGGGTGTCATCGCAGGTCAGCAAGACGGGGGCCGGCTTCAACCCCAACTTCTCCCTCCCTCTTTCTCCCCAAACCCCCCCCCCCTCCAGACCTGCTTGCAGTGCGTTCAGAGTACAACAGGGTGTCATCGCAGCTCAGCAAGACGAGTGGGCGGCTTCGCACAGTCAAGGACAAGCTCGAGAAGGATCTGGGTGGGTGGAAGCCTGGGTCTTACACCGAGGTTTAGCTGGTTTAGGGGGGGGTGTTTAATGAAATCGGTTACACAGACGAGGGGCCGCCTTTGCACAGTCAAGGACAAGCTCGAAAAGGATCTGGGTGAGTGGAAGCCTGGGTCTTACACGGAGGCAAACCCTGGGTGTTTTACTAGCAATGGCACGCTCTTTCTTCGACGCACTCTGGCTGGCATGTGCCAAGTGAATTTCCAAGTTGGCTCGTGAGGTGATTATTTGAAAACAATAAAACAAAGTTTTTAAATCTTTATTCTATGCGTGCTGCAAACCGTACTTGAAGATTCACTTTGTACATGACCAGAGTGCTTGGATGGAGAACCTTCGTCGTTCCTTCCTGTCTCTCTTTCTTTCTCCTCTTCTGCTCCTCCCTTCCCTCGCCCTCCTTTTTTTCCAATATTAAGCCAGTTGCCCTCCTCCTTTTTTTCCAATATTAAGCCAGTTGCCCTCCTCCTTTTTTTCCAATATTAAGCCAGTTGCCCTCCTCCTTTTTTTCCAATATTAAGCCAGTTGCCCTCCTCCTTTTTTTCCAACATTAAGCCAGTTGCCCTCCTCCTTTTTTTCCAATATTAAGCCAGTTGCCCTCCTCCTTTTTTTCCAATATTAAGCCAGTTGCCCTCCTTTTTTTCCAATATTAAGCCAGTTGCCCTCCTCTCCTCGGCACCCTCCTATCCCTCGCCCCGCCATGCTGCTCATCTTAATTGGAAAACCGCGTTTAATGAGTCGACTCTTTTTTTTTTTAACGCAGAGGAGCTCCGCACCAGTCGCCCCGCGCTTGAGCTTGAGTCGACTCAATTTTTTTTTTAAGCCACTTGCCCTCCTCCTCGTCATCCCCCTCTCGCCCCACCGTGCTGCTCCTCTCTGCTTCCCTCCCTCTGCATGCAGCTCCTTCCACCTCTCTCAACCTCCTCCCCGATTCCCCCCTATCCTCTCCCTCCACCACCTTGCTGCTCATCTCTGCTTCCCTCCTCCTGCAGGCCCTAACAGCGAGTTCGCTTCATTCACAGACCGTCGTTTTTCCATCACCCACTCAACACGCTCTTGCTGCTGCTCTCTCTCTCTCACCCCCCTCCCCTCCCTCCTCTCTGCTTCCCTACTCCTGCAGGCCCTAACGGCGAGTTTGCTTCATTCACAGACCATTGCCTCGCCTTCACGCAACACCTTGTTGCCCATATCTGGAGCCACTTCTCCCCACCCTTCCCACTTATGCTCTCCCGCCCCTCCCTCTTCTCGCTCTGCTTCCCTCCCCCTGCAGGCCCTAACGGCGAGTTCGCTTCATTCACAGACCACTGCTTCTCCTTCAAAGTCAACCAGTAAGATGCCATGCCATGCCATGCCATGCCATGCCAGGTCGTCATCTGTCTTCATATCCCCCCTCATCCAACCTCATTTGACCAGGTGTGAGTGCGAGGCATGCCCGTACCCCAAGGTGAAGCACGTTTCACCACCCACTCACCATGCCCCTGATAACCCACTTCTCCTCTCCCCCCCCCCCCTCTCCCAGGTACGAGTACCAGGTGTGTCCGTACCGCCAGGTGAAGCACGTCTCACTTCGCACTCACCCTGCCCCTAATCCCCTCCACCTCCTAACCCAAACATCCCCCCCCTCTCCCAGGAACCAGTACAAAGTGTGTCTGTACCGCCAGGTGAAGCACGTCAGACCTCACACTCACCCTGCCCCTAACGCAAACGTCCCTGCCCCTCCCCCCTATCCATCCCCTCCCCTAGGTACGAGTACGAGGTGTGCCCGTACCGCCAGGTGATGCACATCTCACCACGTCGAAAGCAATGCACCTAATCCCCTCCCCCCTCCTCCCCTCCGCTCCCCCCCCTTGCCCCCCCAACCCAGGTATGAGTACGAGGTGTGCCCGTACCGCCAGGTGAAGCAGAAGGAGAAGCACCACTCCGATACCACTGTGGGGTGAGTGCTGCTGCGAGGTGCTGTGAGACGCAATGCGGTGCTGTGAGGTTATGTGAGGTGGTTTGCCGTAGCGTGGGGTGAGTGGCACTGTGCTGTGCTCAGTCCTGTTTCTGGGAGCCTTCGAAAACTACACCGTTATCATCTATGCAATCACCTTTATTGAACTGACACTCATCATTATCACATATGGTGTTTAACTTGGTACCAGAGTAAGTGGCATTATTTAGCAATGGTGTAGATAACATTCCAACCCTTCTTAACCCAGCTTGAATGAAATCGAGGGGATGACTTTTGAGTCGGCTCAAAAGTCATGTTCGCCCTCCTGCTCCTCTTTTCCCAGCTTTACTGAAAGTGTTTTTCCAATGCAAAAAATAAACTGTCTCCCGTTGGCCCTGCGGGGTTTTATAGATTAGTTTTTGTGATGGATCTACTCTCAGAAGGCATTCTGCAGATCAAATCCATTCTCTTCTTAAAAAGAAACTTCCGTTTTCCGTTGAACCTGCAGGCGCTGGTCGGGCTTTGAGGACAACTATCGCACAATGATGTTCAAGAATGGCGATCATTGCTGGAACGGACCCAGCAGAAGCATCAAGGTGAGGTGGTGCACCGTGATGTCAAAAAGAAAAAAGGGTGATTGTTTGCTCATCAACGTGGGAGGTGGGTGGTAGTCTGTACTCTGTCGCAGTGTTTCGGGTGCTCAGTACTCCGTTTTGCATTACCCAGTAGTAGTACTAGATACTGCTTGGTGTGATACTAGATATTGCGATACTACATAATACCCTTCCTACGCCTTGTATATATCCCCGTGTGTTTTCTCACTGCAGGAGAAGCTGGAGTGTGGCCTTAAAACAGGGATAAAATCTGTTCAGGAGCCCAGCCGACAATGCGAGTAATAGGCGGCGCTTTTGTGTATATAAAGGCCTAAGATCGAACTTACTGTTTTGTTATTATCTCACTGCAGGTGAAGATGGAGTGTGGCCTTAAATCGGGGATAAAATCGGTGGAGGAGCCCAGCCGATGCGAGTGAGTGACTTTTGCATTCCGCTTCTTGATTTGATACGCCTGGTTGATCTGTGGCTGCTCTGTAGTAGGTAGGAGTGAGTGCCCTTGTTGATTTGTGAGCATTTGTGGGCATTTGTGCATCCGTCTGGCTTTTTTCTTCGAATGAATCTCGCTTTGTGTGAGCACCTCATATCGTAAGATCCCTCAACCCGCACACTGTTCACTGTGTACTGTATAACACCCCCCTCTGTGCTGTGTACTGTATAGCACCCCCCTCTGTTACTGTTCCCATCACATTCTTAAAGCCCTCCTCCTCCCCCTTTCCACCTCACTCACTCTCTTGCTACTTTCTCGACGCACACTCCCTCTCCCTCTCTCCCTCCAACCCACCAGGTATGAAGCGGTGCTGGTGACGCCATCAGTGTGCACGGCAGAGCTGGCAGAGGTGAGGCAGTGTCCATCGTAGGCGGCAGAAAGGCTGTGAATTCTAGAGGCGCTTTACCTAGTGCTGGTGACACCATCAGTGTGCACTGCGGAGCTGGCAGGGGTGAGGGGGAGCGCTTGGGGAGTGCATGGGGAGTGCGTGGGGAGTGCGTGCGGAGTGCGTGGGGAGTGCTTGGTAGGAGGCGGGAACATGTGCTTCAGGTACCATGTGCTTCAGGTACCTGTTAGTCGTGTGCTCTGTGCTGATGACCCCATCGGTGTGCACGGCAGAGCTGGCAGAGGTAAGGCCGAGTGCTTGGTTGGTTGGAGGAGGTGCTTGGAGGCAGAGAAGCCATCTGTTGTAGTGGTGCCGTACGTACTCAGTGCGGGTGACTCCCTCTATCAGTGTGCACGGCATAGCTGGCAGAGGTTTGGCCGAGTGCTTGGTTGGAGGAGGTGCTCGGAGGTAGGGGCTATCGGCTGTAGAGTGCTGGTGCTGGTGCTGGTGCTGGTGCTGGTGCTGGTGCTGGTGCTGGGGCTGGTACTGACCACTCCGTCAGTGTGCAATGCAGAGCTGGCAGAGGTGAGGGGGGGTGATCTGGAGGAGGTAGGAGGATGTGCACTGCAGAGCTGACAAGGCCGTGTGCACTGCAGAGCTGGCAAGGCCATGTGCGTTAACTTATCTGCTGCCCTTTCTGCTGCCCTTCCTGGTGCTCTTTTCTGCTGCTCTTTCTGCCAGGAGTTGGAGAGGCAACTGAAGGCGATGGAGGATGATTTGGCAGGCCACGATGAGCTGTAGCATAACACCACACGGCAATGATCCTGCCTTATCTGCTGCCCTTGCTGCTGCCTTATCTGCTGCCCTTTCACTGCCCTTCCTGCTGCCTTTCCTGGTGCCCCTGACTGCTGCTCCTTCTGCCAGGAGTTGGAGAAGCAGCTTGAAGGCGATGGAGGATGATGTGGCAGGCCGCGATGAGCTGTAACATAACACCACACAATGCTCCTGGCTTATCTGCTGCCCTTTTGCTGCCTTTCCTGGTGCCCCTCACTGCTGCCATTCCTGCAGGAGTTGGAGAGGCAGCTGAAGGCGACGGAGGATGATTTGGCAGGCCACGATGAGCTGTAACATGTAGCATCTTGTTAGAAAGATATAGCATTTACCGCTATGGTCATGGATGGAATAAGTTGCATCGCTTTATGACCTGCAATGAATGTTGCCTTAAAACAGGGTGATAAGTGTGAAGTTTCATTGGAATCGTACAGACAGAACTAGAATTACATCCGGCTGGGAAATTGCCACCATGTATAGTACAAACTTCAAAATCCGCAGACATATGGCAAATTCCTATGAACAGGGATCAGATCAGGACCAGAATCGCGGAGGACTGTGCGGTGCAAGGGTTGGAATTGCGCTTCAGTGGGGTTCATTTTGGTTCTGTGTGAACCTGATCCCGATTCCCAGTTTGTAGGAGGAATACGTATTATAATTTTTAACACACGTAGTGTTTTTCAAAAATTGTGTATTGTGAAAGCGAAGCTGATTGTACTGAAGCGTTGGGCATCGTCGAAGCACGCTACTCGCCCTTCTCCAACTACATATACGTGGGTTGGAGCTCATTTACCTCCACCCACGTCTCTCATTTTTCAAACGGCTCAGTCAACTTTCCCGCTCTAGCTTTTCTCCCGTTCAAGCTGGCTAAGACTAGAACTTTGCCTCGCGGCGAGTCTCCCTCGACTCTTCTCTCCGACATTTTTAAAGTTTCACCGATCCGTCATGGCTCCGACTACGAATAATCGCGGCGAGTCCAACGTCGTCACCGGCCACCCCAATTCCGAGTCTACTCGCCAAGCCCCGGAAATTGCGGGCGACCGGCGCAACAAGCGTCGGGCAGAAGAAGGGGCGGCCGCCCCAACTGGGGTTGACGTTCTGCTGGGAGGGGGCGAGGTCAACAGTCAGCCTGCTGACGCGCCCCCGCCCCCTTCTGAGCCACACGCGCAAGTGGCTGGGCAGAGCCAGCTATCAGAATTGAGAGTTGAGTGTTAGATAGAAAGAGAGTAGACAAGGATATACCTCAGGGTTGTACCCTCTAAGAGACTACCCTATACAGTCTATACAAACATGACAAGTACACATGTTTGACACACCCCCTAGACTGCATAGGGGAATGTCCTAAACAAGCAGCTCAGGGCGGCACTACTAGTCCAACCTCTGAGACAAGGGTCTGAGAGACCAGTCAGAAGGAGTACAGACAAGGCAAGAGCAAGAGCAGGGCAGCACTACTAGTCCAGCCACTGGGAGAGGACACAAGTCCAGTCTGAGTATACATATAAAGGACAATACAAAGTCAAGGTCCTAGCAAGTGAGAGGCTTCAGGAACTAGACCAAGCTGTACACAGTGCCGCTGATGATCTTTAGGCGCAAGCGCCTTCGTAAAGATATCAGCTGTGTTGGCACCTGAGGCCAAGTGTACTACGCGAGCCGGACGTCGCTGCTGTAGCTCACGCAGGAGGAAGTACCGCAGCTGAATGTGCTTCGCTCTGCCCTCGAGTTGAGGCTCCTGACACAGGAGGATCATGGCCCTGTTGTCAGCGAACAGGACCGGGGCAGAGCTAGGCCGCTCACCTAAGTCAGTGAGCAAGAAGGTCAGCCAGCGGAGCTCCTGTGCCGCCATGGCACCAGCGTAGATCTCAGCCTCACAGCTGGACTGCGCCACAGACGAGGAGCGGGTAGCTCTCCACGAGACGGCACCTGAGCCAAGGCTGAAGCAGTAGCCCTGGGTAGACCTGAGTGTCTCGGCGTCGTCTGCCCACGAAGCGTCTGTGTGTCCAGTAAGGACCACTGGCCTGCGTCCTCCTAGCACTAACCCCATGCCCGATGTACTAGCAAGATAACGCAGAACCCTCTTAGCGGCAGACCAGTGCTGCGGTCGGTGTCTGCCTGTGGCCACAAAACGAGCCAGGATGCTGAGAGGGTATGCGAGATCTGGGCGAGTGCAAGTCATCAGGTAGATGAGGCAACCCACCAGCTCTGCGTAGGGGCCGCTGGGCTCTACCAACTCCTCAGACACTGGAGCGGAGAGCCTGTGGTCTACAGGCAGAGGGGTGGGCTGTGCAGAGGAGAACTGAAGGCTGAACCTCTGAAGGACCTGGCGCACCAAGTGTGACTGAGTCAGGGTGATGGTGCGCGCAGCTCTGTCCCTGGAGATCTACAGGCCAAGGTAACGGCGCAGTTCTCCAAGGTCAGTGCAGGTGTGTCTCTTCAGCAGCTCTGCCTTCACAGAGGCCAGTGCGTCCCTGTCTGCTGTGGCAAAGACCAGGTCGTCGACGTAAACAAGGATGTAGAACGGGGTCTGGCCAGCACGAACGAAGAGTGAAGGGTCTGCGGAAGACGGAAAGAACTGCAGGTCAGCAAGCGTAGCACAGAGAGTGTCGTGCCACTCACGAGGAGCCTGGCGCAGGCCGTAGACGGGGCGTCGCAGGAGCCACTGGGTCCCAGGAGGGAAGGTGCCAGTAAAGCCCGGAGGGCGACGTAGGTAGACCTGCTCGTGTAGGCTGCCCTGAAGGAAGGCAGTGGAGAAGTCGAGGGAGTGAAGCTCGTAGTCACGCTGAGCAGCTAGGTGTAACAGAACCTGAAGAGTAGTCATCTTCGGGGTCGGAGCGAAGGTCTGGAAGAAGTCCACCCCCTCGCGCTGACTGAAGCCTCTAGCCACATAGCGCGCCTTGAAGACAGGCGGCTCTCCAGGAGGGCGCTTCACCTTGAAGAGCCAGCGGCCATCGACTACGTTCACCCCAGGCGGGGGAACTGCGTCGACGAAGGTGCCGGTGGATCTCCAAGATGCCATCTCCTGCTCCATGGCAACTATCCACTGCGAGGCCCAGGGTCCCGAGGTCGCCTCAGCGTAAGTGCGAGGGGTCGGGATGTCGAAAGCGTCTGGGTCACCCTCAGGGACTAGCAGCATGGAACAGAGATGGGGAGCAGCCTCGGAGAGGAAAGCAAGCTCGAACTGGCGGTCCTCCACAACGTCACTGCCAAGGGCAGGAGCACCCCCGACAGACGGAGGACAGGCAGGGTCAGAGACCAGAGCTGTGGCGTAGTCAAGGCGGCGGGTAGAGGCGAAGTCAGCGACAGCAGCGACAAGAGCGGCAAGGCACGAGACCGGAACAGACGGGTCGGTAACGAGAGAGGCAAGGACCCGAGGAACAAGGGGACGAGCGGCACGAAGGTAGCCAGACAGCGGGGGGGGTGCAACAACAAGGGAGGACGGAGGAGGCGACGGCAGAAGGGGAGGACGAGACGCGTGGGAACGAAGCAACATAGGGTGGGAGCGCAAGACAGGCGAGGCAGGACGAGCACGGGGGGGACAGTGAGACCAGACGTGCGACGGAGGAGTCGGGTCAGGAGACAGAGGAGGGGACACAGGAGGGGAACGAGGGGGGAGACGTGCCGGGGACGAGTTCGGCGGAGGGAAAACAGGGCCGTAGACAGGAAGAGGAGGAGACGGCAGGAGAGGAACAGACGCAGGGTCGGGGGACGGAAGGCCGAGCAGGCGAAGGGCTGACACCGGCGGGGACTGCTGCTGCGGCGGCACAACGGCGACACCTGGACCGCAAGCTGCTCCTCGGCTACCACCGGCACTCTCCACACCAGCACCCCCAGAGGGACCACCCCTAGTGCTACAGGGACGAGCACCCCCAGAGTCAGCGAACGGGTGCTGCGACGGCGGCGGCGGCGGCGGCGGCGGCAACGACGGCTGCAGCGGCGGCAGAGGCGGTGGAGGAGGGGACTGGGGAGGGGACGCCAGGGGAGGGGCGGCTGACGAGGATTGCACAGGAGGGCCACCAGAGTCAGAAGACTCCTCAACCGGGTCCACCGACGGAAGGGGGGTGACGTGGGACACACCAGAGGGGGCAGGACGGGGAGGAGGAGGAGGAGGGGCAGGGACTACCGGGGAAGGAGGGACCAGGAACAGGGGGGGGGTAACCGGGGGACCACGGTGGGGGAAGCGACGGTAGTAGGAGACGGACTCGTCAAAGGTGACGTCACGAGAGTGAAAGAAGCGGTGAGACGGCGGGTGGTAAAAGTGCCAGTCGGACGCGTCAAGGGGAAAACCAAGGAAGACGCAGGGAAGGGTGCGGGCAGTGAGCTTATCCGTGCCGGAGGCACGGACGTGAGCAAGGCAGCCCCAGACGTGGAACGCAGACGCGTCACCAGGAGACCCAGTCCAAAGACGGGTCGGCGAAACCTGCGGCTGCTGAGGGTGCGGCCACAAGTTAAGCTGGTGGGAAGCGTAGCGCACAGCGAACGGCCACAGAAAATGGGGGGCACCGGCATGGACCATGGAGGTGCGGGCCACCTCCATGACCAAACCGATGCGTCGCTCAGCGACCCCATTCTGCTGTGGGGAGTCCGGTAGGGTGAACGTCTAGGTGATGCCCTCCGCACGACAAAAGCGACCAAGGACACCTGAGGCAAACTCGCCACCACGGTCTGAGTGAAGACGCAAGACAGGGAGACCGCGGTGGACACGCGCAGAGACAAGCCAGGGGATGAGAGCGCCAGGCACGTCGGCCTTGCGCTCCAGGGAAAAGACTGTGGTGTAACGAGTGAAGTCGTCGACAAGCACAAGGAAGTAGCGCTCTCGACGCGGCCCAGGGACGGGGGCGGGGCCCCAGACGTCCAGGTGCAGGGTCTGCAGCGGCGCGGCGGTAGGGGGAAACGAGGAGGAGTGAGGGGCACGGCGAAGCCGACCCTCGACGCAAGGCGTGCAATGTGGGGCTGGGGAGGAGGGAAACGGGGGGAGGGAACCTGGGAGACCAAGGACAAGACCGTGCTGGGACATGTGACGCAGACGCGGGAGCGCAGGGTGACCTAGGCGGTGGTGCCAAAGGAGGGTCGGGTGAGTGAGGGACCGACAGGAGCAGGCAGCAGCAACCTGGGGGAGCGCTCCAGCTGGGGGGGTCACGGTGTCCAGAGTGAACAGGCCGGACACCGGGTCCCGGGGGAACGTGGACAGGGGGGCACCCGTGGCGGCCTCGGTACAGACAGCATACCGCTCATGACCAGGGAACGTAGTGGTGACGCCAAGGTCCTGGAGGCAGCCGACACCAACTAGGTTCCTGGAGAACGAGGGGATATGCAGACCTGTAAGAGTGCCCGAAGGAACCGCCGGACAGGGAAGGGTGGTGGAACTGCGGGCGACTACCGGACCGCCGGAGGGGTCAGCAAGAGAAACGGCAGCAGGGACAGGAAGCGGCGTCAGGATGGTGGAGTCGCGGAAGAAACACCGAGAAGCGCCAGAGTCCAAGGTGAAGGAAAGTGAAGCAGAGGCGTCTGG